GGATCAGTATGATTCTGCAAAAAGCCAGAAACTGCAACATTTTGTGGGGTGAGATTTGTTTAATTTGGGGTTTGGATATAATTCACATATCCATGTGAAGCAAAAGTCTGAACATTTGTGATTTAATTTAACCTGTATTTACTAATTTAGAAAAGAAAAAGAGTACAAGTAAACACTACTCATATAGTACTGAATATTTCAACATGCAAACCACTGTTGTCCCAAATATTTAGTGTTACATTTGAGAGGTAGGTAAACAGTACTTATTTGCCCTTTTCCCAGTTTTTAACCCTGTCTCCCCCATGGGATTATGTATTGTACTTTCAAAGTTTCAATTTTTGCAGAGGGGGGAAAAAAAGGAACCTTTTCATTTCCAAGTAACAGAGGTTTCCTCACTATTGGAAAGCAAAAACTGTCATCACTATGGTGAAAATAATTCTAGAACTTTTCATTCTCAATCTTAGAGCTTCTCTAGGTAGTCATGTATTTACTGAAATAGAAGACAGTATGGACTGAAATTCATAAAAGTCTTTTCACCCACCACACTGCAATTTCAGTGAATTGATTATGCAGGTGCGACTACATCAGGGATAAATACCTTAGGGTTCCAGACCTACTTATGATTCTTCAGGGTCCAAAACTGCAGTCTATGGTTAGACTGAAACACTGATCAGAGCAGTTCCAGTTGTATTGACTGAAACGATGCTAAACACATGGACTGGAACTACTGGGAGCCTTTTCTCATTCCCAACTGTTACTGAGAGAGAGATAATTGAAAAAGGCAAAGAGAAAAACATCCTCTTCCTCAGCAGTCAGGATGGGACATGGGAGAATGGAAACAAGAAATAATACTCATCTGTTGGAAAGATGAAGAGAAAAAAAGCATGTTCTCTCCCTCCCAGCAGCCAGGAGAGAAGGAGACCATAGATACAGTCACAAAAGCTATGTCAGGAAGACAATCAATTAGTCATAAAGTAATATGCTAACATAGCACTGCTGTGCCTGTGTTATGATGCTGCTGTGATGCATGACACAACAGCATTGTTACAACAACACTAAGATACCTCTGTATTAGAGTATAAATCTGGCAATAAAACAAGATCATGCCAAACCACTGAGTGTGGTTATTCATCTCTCTGAGATTTTAATTATTCTCCAAACAATTCCCTATCTTTTCAGATTAATTATTCTAGGTCAGTTTAACAGATTAATTAAAAATTAGTGAGTCAGGGGAACGTGAAAATTACTCAGTGACCTGGTAAGTAAACTGTAGGAGAAAATCCCTTTCTGCACTTATCTACTAGTTGTAGTAATACATAAGCAACTGGTAAAGGGAGCGATGAAGCAAATCATACAAAGTTACCAAGCACACACTTGACTGAACTGGAAATAGAACCAGGAACTCTTGTAGTGGTCCAAGCCACAGTGCCACGAAGGTACATATTACAGCAGTAGAGCTTGTGATAAGTTTCAGTGAAGTTTGGACATAAAAAATAGATCGCCTACACCAAAAAAATAAAACCGATAACCATAATGAAGATGTACAAAAGCACAAAGGAGAATTATGTGCACAAAGTTACTAAACACCTTGTATGCCTTGGACAACTGCCTCTAAAACTTTTAGAGACGGTATTCTATTTTTCTGGTTTAATTAAATACCGACCTAATCAAGTCTCATACCCTGCTGTAGAGGAAGAAACTGAGAGAGAGAGAGAGAAAATCTTTGCACACCAGTGGATGTATATTTGGTCAACGTTCATTGAATTATGTTTCTCACAGGTATATGTGAACTATGAAACAAAAACTCTTTCATGACCTGCTTTGACAAGGCCTCTAGAATCTGCCCGTAGACCTTGGCTAGGGACAGGCATTACACATAAACTGGGTTAAGTGATCAGAGACAGATGTTCGGTACACATAAACCAGTTTGAAAATGGCTGAAACTGGTTTGAGATAAAGTTGAATTTGGTATCAGACTTAACCGATTCGGCTCAAATGGGTTTATGCAATGTCTGTCCCAGACCCCTTGCTGGTTTAAGATAAATCAGACACCCCCAGCATCCCAGCATGCTCTCTGAGCTGGGCGCAGCTCTCTGCTCCACAGCAGGGCTGGCCCCTCCCCTCCACTCCTTGGCTGCAGCTCCAGTAGAGACTGCAGACACAGCAGGGTCTGCCTGGCTTCCCTCTGCCCTAATTCCCCCTCACTGCTTAAACAGGAATCCTGCCCCCCACTCCCACTTACTCTCTCCCAACTCCCACAGCATGGACCCCAGCCCCATGGACCCGAGGCACATGGTATGCTACCTAGTGCTGAGAGATGTCTGTGTGTCTTTCTCTACAATTTCACTGGGACAGGCAGACAGAACAGTGACCCCTTTAGGGCTATTTGGAGATAACCAACAGGTCAGCTGGTAAGCTGTTTAAGAAGAGTTTGAAGTAATGAAGAGAGCCTATTGTTTTGCTGATGAGGTGATAATCACTGTTATCAGCCCCCTGCTGGCTTGCTCACCTGTCAGTTTGCTGCAGACAGTATAAAGAAGCAGAGAGAGGGAGATTGAAAAGCTGTTATCATGAATAGATGCATACACTGCACACCCTCCCCTTACTTCAGAGTGCTAGCCCGGGGCTGGGTGCTGGCAATACTCCCACTCCTTGAGCAGCCAGTGAGGAAAAGCCTGGGACCATGCAGGCAGACCTCCCTAATCAGAGGTCCTGTGGGGGCCTGCCCATGCCCCACCTCAGCTCAGCACGACACAAGGGAAGGGAGGGCTGCTCTAGCACCCCTTGGCTTCTAGCCTGAGCCACTGCAGGCATGTGCCTGAATTTCCTCAGTCCAGAGAGAATGTCTGTCCAGTTACAAACTGGTTCAGCCTAGCCAGGTTAGACTAACCTGCAAAGATTGAATCAATTCAGGCTCAGGCTTTTTGAGTGTCTGTCCCTATCCCTTATGAACCTTGTTGTGAAAATGAACTGGGTTTCCATTGGGGTCCCACGTGATTATACTCTCTATATAAATTAGAACATTAACAGCTTTAACTTTTTGCATGCTAGATTACTAATACCTTACATTGTATTCAGCTTTTCCTCAGCAGAGTCCCATAAATTGCATCACAGTTTCAATCTTAAAAAAACCACATTTAAAAATGTGCCTGAGCAAGCACATTCTAAACCAAAATGCAACGGAGGTGGCTCAAAAAAATCTAGCAGCAGCACAATGAGATGCCACAAGAGAAATCTGAAACCTTAACTTAAGCCACTCCACCAGCAAGGAATGGAAAATGATATGAAAACATTATACACAGGCCTTGTGAGAATGAAGATTCTTGTATAGCTCTGATGCAACTATCTGATGAATATAGCCCTAGCATTGGTGGTCTCTTAAGGAAACTGTGTCCAACTACCTAGAACAGTGGATGGTGCAACACCAAGGTAGGAGGAAAGGGTTGGGGAAAAAGATGGGGAAGAGTGCAGGCAGGATTCCTTGGACTCCAAGCTAAAGTCAGGAGCGAATAACAAATACAGTCGGGGCTTGAAGCATCTCTCATCATCTTCAATGAGCATTAGATCATGACCAAAATTAATTCTCACATAGCTTTTATTGCGTTCTCCTGGATATGTCACGATAAATAATGTTTTTCTCCCAGAAAATACATCAGTTTTTGGCTTTGCTAACAAAGCAGAGGTTTTTTTATTTGCTCTTAAGCACTGTGCAGGTTTATGAGAGGCAAGGAGGAATGCTAATAACATTAATAAAAAAGTGATGACATGAAATGGTGATGTAAAGCATACTGTGAGCTGCATGATGGGGGAAATAATTACTTCTCAGTTCCATGAACCCTTGAAGGTATTTCTTTTTCTTAATTAGTATCAGGAATCACATAGAAGTTTAGTCACGCTAGGAGACTGGAAATTTTCTGTAGCTGCAGTCCCTTCTTTTGTCTTTGCAGACTACAGTATCAAAAATCAGTTTCACTCAATATGTCAAATGCAGAGAATACTGGGTACCAAGCTATTTTAACATTGGCAGTCAGTGTGGCTTGGAATTAAGGGAGCTGCCTAGAAGCAACAAGAAAGTGGCACACTGAATTATTATGGTGAGAAACATCATACATCCTAAGATAATTAGAAAAAAGTCATGGTCAGACAGGCTTCCCCATGAAATATGTAAGTTAGATTTGGTTGTGGGATATGAAAGACAGAACATTCATGCTGACTCTTTAGTTCTCTGCTAAGCCACATAAGCTTCTTTTTCTCTTTATTTTTACAGCAGTATATAAATGTTTTGTGAATTAAGAGTCTTTGAACTGTATTTCCCTGACCCATAAAATGAATTTCAGTTGTCTCCCTGCAGTTATACCCCATGTGTTATTGCAGACCCATTACCTTCTACTGTCAACAAACAGTAATCCCACAAGAAGAAAAGAAAAAGAGCCAACCCAAAACTCTCCTCTTGGTATTGTTAATATAAGGTTAGGATAAAAAAAATCATTGCAGCTGCACTGTATAAGCAGTAAACATGAAGTCAGGAGATCTTAGAACTAGTACAGTAAGAACAACCCACGAGAAATTCTCCCTCAAGATGCCTTGGTTCAGCTTCCTTTAAAGAGAAAGTTAAATAGGGATTTAGAAGAAAATGCTTATCCTTAAATATGAATTGGTTTATATCCTGATTCTACAACAGAAGCCATGAGGATGTATGCATCCATTAATTTAGATCTCTGTAGGATCAGAGCTGTAGGAGACAGTGTTTCTGAGGTATTCAATCCTTCACTTGCCATACTTTTTTTCAAGTGGTGAAAATCCTATGATATTATTGGAAAGCGTGATTTGGTCTACTTAAGGTATTCTATAAAGTCCCTTATCACCAGGGAACTGGGTTTTCCGTTGCCCATGAAATAATAGAGAAAAACATGGATTTGCTTCTTTACTCAAGGAAAACATGCTTCTCAAGCAAATCCTGGAACATCATTCTCCCCTTGTACTTGGCCTTGGTGAGGCCGCAACTGAAGTACTGCATCCAGTTTTGGGCTCCACAATTCAAAAAGGATGTGGAGAAGCTTGAGAGAGTCCAGAGAAGAGCCACGCGCATGATCAAAGGTCAGGAAAAAGACCTTACGACGACAGTCTGAGAGCCATGGGGCTCTTTAGCCTGGAAAATCGCAGGCTTAGGGGTGATCTGATGGCCACCTATAAGTTTATCAGAGGTGACCACCAGTATCTGGGGGAATGTTTGCTCACCAGAGTGCCCCAAGGGATGACGAGGTTGAATGGTCATAAACTACTACAAGACCGCTTCAGGCTAGACATAAGGAAGAATTTTTTTTACTGTCCGAGCCCCCAAGGTCTGGAACAGCCTCCCAACAGAGGTGGTTCAAGCACCTACATTGAACACCTTCAAGAGCAAATTGGATGCTTATCTTGCTGAGATCCTATGACCCCAGCTGATTTCCTGCCCTTTGGGCGGGGGGCTGGACTCGGTGATCTTCTGAGGTCCCTTCCAGGCCTAATGTCTATGAAATCTATGAAACACAGATTTTTCATTTTAATGGAGAAACCCGTGGATTTTGCACTTTTGCAAAGAGCTCTCTGCAGGCTGGCAGAGTTGCAGACTGAGGGGCTGGGTGGGGGGAGCAGGAAGAGGATGGTCAGGCAGGGAGGCACCATATGCGTGTATATGCACATGGCCAACAGGCAGCCTGGAAAGCAACTCCTGCAGCTAAGTGGTCAGGGGCAGAAATTGAGGCCTCCATAGAGATGGAGGGCAGGGCTGGGGCTACTGCCCAGCTGGAGGGTGTGGGGGGCTTGGGGCTGGAATGTGTGGCCACAGGGCCCAGGCGGGGAGTGGGATGGGGCCATAGGTGGCTTGTCTGGGGAGCGGGAGGTGAAGCTGTTTCCCTGGTGCTGCACGCACCCATGTCCCCCAAATCTGTGCATGGGACAGAGGCAGGTGGGGGAGCAGGCTTCCTGCTGTAAGGTCAGGCTCCCCACCCTTCTGCCCTCCGCTGGAGCTTCTGCAGCCCAAGCAGGTGTGACCTGGCACTGCAGGACAGAGTAGGGCCATGTGGGGAAGCTCAGTGCCACTATGAGCTCTGTGCTGCCCTAGTAAAGTGTCCCCTGCCTGCCCAGCAACAGTGAGGGGACAACCCTTTCCAGGCAGGGGACACCCTGCCAGGGCAGTGCAGAGCTCGCAACGGCAATGAGTTTCCCTACATGGTCCCACTCTGTCCTGCAGAGCTGGATCATACCTGCTGGGCTGCAGAGGCCCTGGGAGAGGGCAGTAGGCCAGGGAGCCCACAGTGGGCAGCCTGAACCTACCCCACGCACAGATCTGGGGGGCAGACATCTCCCATGACCTTCCAGGAGTGCATGCAGCACTAGGGAGCCTCCCCCCACCTCCCTGGCCTGAGCCTGCAGTGGGCAGGCAGTCAAGGGGGAGCCAGACTTCATGCTCCGTGCTTTGCTCTGCTGCTGCAGCAGCTGCTGCCTCCCATGGGCAGCAGCCAGGGCTTGGGCACTGCTGCAGGGGGCAGGAAGCTGTGGACCCAGGTCCCTGGCCCCATAGCCCTGGCAGGTGGGGTCCCTTCTCTGGCAGGACTGTGGGCCAAGGGTCTGGGGAGGGAGTGAGAGGCCTGGACCTGTGTTCTGTAAGCTAAGGGGCAGGGGGAGCTCTGATTTTCCATGATAAAAAACCCAAAATCAAATACCAAAATGTATTTTTTATTGTGACTGAGGCACTGGTAGGCTTACAAATTACTTTAAAATTGTAAATATATCAAGAAAAACATTGTGTTCAACTGATACCCATGTATATGTGGTCTTTCATTTTAAGCACAGATTTTGGAGTTTTAATTAGGGAATTTGCCATTTTTTATCAGGGAAAAACAGGACCCCTGCTCATCACAGTGTTTGAACACAGCATATATAGATTAGCTCTGCATTGACTAAACTTCATGGACTACTTTTCTAGGGCTCCTATACATGTCAGAAAGGCTGCTCTGATGTGCTGTAATTCCAGCTTAATTAGTAGAGTCTGCTGGAACGTGGTAATTACCATGCTCCAGCAGATTCCAGCGTCATGTGTATGTGTCCCCATGCTGAAAAATGGTGGTGGGGTGCTTTAAACTAAAGCTTGTTTGATGAACTTTAGTTCAAAGCACCCAACTAGTTGCCATTTTTCAATGCAGGACTGCTTATACATGTGATGCTCTGGATGTTTTTAATTAGCATGGCTCTTGGAGCTGCGCTAATTAAAGCGCCCTGCCCCCAGCCTAGTGGAGCATATTTATACCTGCCCCTCGTGCCCCTTCTGAAGTTCTAAAAAGTTCCATTTTTACATCTATCTCATTGTATCTTCATCTTGTTATAGTGGGAAAATTTTTTAGAGTCGCATCTTAAAGTTACAACCAGATGCATTCATAGGGCCTCTTAAACCAGTAACAATGGCTTAGCCTGAAACTTCCCAGTTTTAGTTGGAAACCAGATAGATTCTGTCTATAAAATGTGAATATCAGGTCAAAATATTTTTGAATTATTAGCTCGATATTAAAAAGTTAAGCATTCACCCTGTTTGGAATGTTGACTTGTGTCCAGGCTTGCTTTACCCTTCTTGCCCCAAAAGGGTTTGTTACTACTTTTCAGGCTCCTGCAAACTTCTAGAACATCTATATTTTACAGGTTTATGAACTGGAAAGCAATGGCAGCCCCGCTTTATCAGAAATAAGGGTACTAACCCAGTGGATCTAGAGGTAACTATGGATGTCATGGAGTTAACTGTGGCCTTTCCTCTGGTGGCCTTCCATGATGACCTAGACTTTTTTCCTTATGTAAGCAGAGTCCCAGCCACTGTTCTGCCCACATTCATCAACTTGGCTTTTCTGTAAAGCTTAATAGATTCTGTAAAGCTTAATAGTGGTTCTGGCACTGACTCTCCACAATCCAGGTAATTTAATCTATAATGACCTGCTCTAAGGCTATGGCTACATGGCACAATGCCAAGCCATGATGAGAGAACCCAGCTAACTGGGGTACCAGAAGCAGCATAGACATAGCCATAGAGGGCTACACCCTGCACACAAGGGACCTAGCAGGGAGAAAAGGCAGAGAGGTAGCTGTCTATGTGAGGGAGCAGTACACCTCTTTGGAGGCTGACATTGGCTCCAAAAATAAACAGCTTGAAACCCTCTGGGTCAAGCTTTGGGGGAGTGGGGCAAGGTGAGAAAGACCTTGATCTGGAGTTCTTCCAAGAACTGACAGAGGCTGCACATACTAGGAACTGGGTTGTCTTTGGCAACTTCAATTACCTGGACATAGATTGGGAGGAACACTAGGCTAGGTCAGATTGGTCATGTAGCTTCTTAACTGTAATTGAGGAGTTCTTTCTGACTCAGGAAGTTCAAGGGCCAACCAGAGGTACCGCTCTCCTAGACTTGGTCTTGGCCAAAAGGAGATGATCTGGTGTGCGGCTTGAACTTTGAGGGTAGCCAGGGCAACAGTGACCATGAGCTCCTCAGGTTCACTGTCCGCTGCAAAGTTGATAAATCAACTAGCAGGATTGAAGTTCTGGACTTCAAAAATGCTGACATCAACAGGCTCAGGGCATTAATAGGGGAGGTGATGTGGGACCAAGGATGGAAGGTGAATGGGCTACATGAAGAGTGGTTGTTCCTCAAGGACACCATCCTTGAAGCACAAAAGAAAACCGTTTCCATGAAAAGGGAAGGTAGCAGAAGGGCTGGCAAGCCCTCCTAGCTCAATAAGGACATCGCGGTCCTCTTGAAAGAGAAAAAGGAGGCATACCACAGTGGATGCTAGGGACAGTCCTCAAGGAGGACAATGAAACAGTGGTCTGCACTTGTAGGGAAATGGTTAGGAAAGCCAAGGAGGTGATTGAGTTTAAGTTAGCTAAGAGAGTCAAGGACAATAAGAAGTTCTTCTTTTGGTATGTAGGGAGCAGAAGGAAAATAAATGGAAGCATGGACTCCCTGCTTAACACATCGGGACAGCTGGTAATGGACACTCAGGAAAAAAAACTGAACTCCTGAATGCCAACTTTGCTTCGGTATTTCACTGGACCAAGGGGAAAGACAAGCAAGATAAGGATGCCTTCCCACTGTGGATGCTGAGCTGGTGCACAACCAACTAAAACAGCTAGACATTTATAAGTCAGGAGGACCAGATGGACTTCACCCAAGAGTGCTGATGGAGCTGGCTGAGGTCATCGCAGAATCCCTGGCAAAACTCTTTCAGAAATCGTGGCACACAGGGGAGATCCCTGAGGATTGGAAGAGGGCCAACATTATGCCCATCTTCAAGAAGGGGGACAGGGAGGACCAGGCAACTATAGGCCAATCAGCCTAACCTCCATCGTAAGGAAAATCCTGGAAAAACTCCTTAAAGGATCTATGTGTAATATGCTCATTGAGAGTAAGATTATGAATGACAGCCAGCATGGCTTCATTGTGGGTAGGTCTTGTCTTACCAATCTTATCTCCTTCTAGGAACAGGTCTCTTGCCATCTGGACACGGGATAAATGGTCAACATTATATACCTAGACTTCCAAAAGGCTTTTGGTATCTAGTATTTAGTGGAAAAATTGGAAGATTGTAGGCTTAACTGCTTAACAGTCCAGTGGGTGGAAAACTGGCTGCATGGTAGGACCCAGAGAGTTCTCATGAATGGAACTGTGTCATCTCGAAGAGAAGTGGCCGGTAGCGTCTCTCAGGGGTCTGTGCTTGGACTGGTACTTTTCAACATCTTAATGATTTGGATGTGGTGGTGAAACGCTCACTGGCCAAGTTTGCAGATGACACCAAGTTATGGAGGAGTGTGGTCATGCCAGAAGATAGGTTACAGATACAGGCGGACTTGAACAGGCTAGAGAGCTGGGCAGACTGGAACCAGATGAAATTCAACACTCAGAAGTGCAAGGTGCTCCATCTGGGGGCAAACAATCCCCAACATACCTACAGGCTCAGTGGCAACAATCTGACTTGCACCACAGCCAAAAGCACCTAGGGGTA